CCCCAAAACCCCAAAACCCCAAAACCCCAAAACCCCAAAACCCCAAAACCCCGAGATGGGGGTGGATGGTTGAAGGAGTGATAAAAGGGGAGTTATGGAGTTGGGAGGGGTTTGGGGAAGTTTTGGAGGGGTTTTGGGGGTTGGGAGAAAGCAGAGGTGGGTTTGGAAGTGTTTTGAGGTAAGAGGGAGGGGGTTTGAAGGTAGTAAGATTTCGAATTGGTTATTTTTGATCATTTTGAGAGATGTTTGAGAATAAATGAAAGATATGTGGACTTGGTGAGTTCATTGAGGAAGCATATAATAAACTTTTAATTAAGATTCAGATGCAGGTGAATTAAAATTGCTTCATTGTCTTCAAATTCTGCCTAAAATTATAAAAACTATATTATCTTCATATCCAGCTTGAATAAAACTTTTCAAAAATTCTGATTAAATTATTTTAAGTTCACTTGAAGATCAAGGAAATGAAAGATCTATCCATAACTCATTAGAAGAGTCTAAGCCTTCCTACCACTTATAGTATCCGCTTCATCTTGATATTACACCATGAGAATATATCTACGAGCTCTAAATTCAATTTGGTAAATTTCAAAGTTCATTTCCTTTGGAAATGACTCGATTAGTCCATTTTTATTGCTACTAAGTTCGAAAAAGAGGGAGTATATATCTCTCTGGACTAACAAGGAGAGTATACAATAACTTTCAACCAGAATGGATTTCTCCATGCGATCTCTTCCTTAATCCTGAGAGGAAATTAGCTTCACTTCAAATCCCAAATCTAGTGAGACTTCTCTGTTAGTTCAGAGTAATTGTAGTGACATGAAGAATTGTTGAAACTTTCTCATAGTCTACCATTGTTGAGCCACTCCTACTTGGGACTGCGGCTTCTCTATCTTCATGCTAAAGTCCTTGGCTAAGTTCATGGCCAATATCGCTCACTAGAGGTGCATATAGGAGGCTATTTCAGGATTATGAATAAGCGGTAGAAGTTTTATTCATACTTTTCACCACGCAAAATTTTCTTATTATTTGAAAATCTGAAGAGAATCTTTTTCTCCGAGTTTTTGGTACCCTCAACAAGAGAGAGCCTGGCCTTTCTGTTGGAGCTAGCTTCAGATTTAGAAAGAGTTTACAAATGATTCTTAGCCTCAGGGAGTTTCTTATAGCAGCTAAAAATAAACATTTCTACTTCATCCTCCGGGTTCATTGCTGTAAATATTATCATTATCAAAGTGGTAAAAATATGGTAGATTATGAAACTAATTCTATTTTTCACACTCAAAGAAGAGGTGGAGTCAAACAACTCTGTTCATAGTGTTATTGAAGCTCTTTCTTAATTGATAACAATAAGCCTGATCAATTTCAGCTTAAAAAATAAGATAAACTGCTTCCTACCACCCTGATGAATCCACTCACAAGAGAAACGGAGGTTTCTAATAATTACTTCAATTGGATTTAAGCAAGTAAAATTTATTATCTACTCTCTTTCAATTATGAAAGTTGCGACAAAAGCCAAGTTATAGTCCAGGAATGACTCCAAAGCTCAATTTTGAACTCTTTTAAAAAAACCTGGATACTTCAAGTTTTAACCCTCACATTCATTAAATCGAAACTTTTCGCATTTAGAATCGGATATAGGTAGAGTAATGTAGAGCTATAGCACAAAAACACGAAGATAACATTCATAATTTTTCAGCATTTGTTTTGAAAATTATAAATATTTTCTAAAGTAGGAGAGACCCCCGAATTTATAATTAAATCTTCTATCTATAGCTTTAAAGGATTTATGATTAAGTTGACTTCTCATATAGATGGCTTCTCACTCCAGATTTGCAGTTAGAAACCTAAATAATATACCTGGATGTATTAAAGTGTGGATATAAGGGGCCAAGCTTGTCAATAACAGATATCCTCATTGCTAAAAGCACTAGTCTAAACTACGTTAAGGTTGATAATCCTCTTGATTTTTTCAGAATTTTCAATCCGGTCTTAGACTTCAACTAATTTTTCAGCTTAGTTTTCACAAACTCTTGTTCTCATACATAAAAACTGCGATATTTCTTCCAGTGAGGATATCCCTCGTTCCTTTCACCAATAAGCCTATGAAAATTTCCCATATTCTGAGAAATTGAGGCAATTGGTGAAGCCTTTGTTTTGTTGAGGCATTATTGAAACTGGCAGCTGAAAAATGGAGCTAGCTCTGTTTTAAGACTTTTAGCATAAATGATAAACTATAGAGTCTCTTGCATTACAAGCACATGTATGATAGAAAGGTACATGGGTCTCTGAGAGTACTCCTCTCTGGATTATTTTCAAATGTTTCTATTTCGAGTAATGGGTGTTGAAGAGGGTTTAAACTGATATCTCCATGCTTTCATTCACGCTCAAAACATTTTGTTCTTGGACTGCCAAGAAGGCTGAACTAATATATTTATTAGGTAATAAGGCTAGTAAAACTAAGAGGGTCTGATAAGTCATAGGATGGCCAAGATAGTTGATAGTTTATCATAGGGCCTCTTTTGAGCAAGTTATTTCTCCTGATATGTATCAAACAAAAATGGCTGACGATGACTCCAAAGAAGACTATATTAATTTTATTAATCCTGAGACTCTAAACATGAAAACTTGGGTAGAGCTAATGCTTTCTAAAATTGTTGTATCTTGTCATCAGGATACACAGCCAGACGATGATATATAAAAGCTACCAAATCGATTATAATTAATAAAGAAAATGTTATCCAATTACACAAACAATTCAATGAACGTTGCCCAGAATATGGCCACGGTAAGTTGAGAGCTTCCAAACCTGATCTAACTTGAGTTTGGTATAGACTTATTATGACGCTCTTGAAGCAGCACTATCTGAAGTGTTCAACCAATTCTGTTGGGGTTGAGAAGCTTCACAATCACCACAAGCCATGATTGGTCATCCAAAAGCTTTGAATATCAGGAACACCACAATAGGAGATCTCAGTACGATGAATGATACTCAATGTGGCTCTCCTGTGAAACAAACGAGCATCAAGACAAAAAAGACTAGGAAAGCTCTTCCTGGAGTCGCTAAAAATCTAAACATGATCCTCCAAATGGTAGAGTGCAATCAAGAAGTGAGTTTCACCGCAACCACCAAGAGCTCTAGAGGCCTCCACAATGGAACCTCCAAGAGGAGATCCAGATATATTGGAGTCCTCGGCAATGGCACTCGTTGGCAAGTCCTCATTAATGTCCTTGGCAAGAAGAAGTACATCGGAACCTTCGGAAGCGAGAAAGAAGCCGCCATTGTGCACGACTTCTACGCCATCGGACTTAATGGACTTGAAGCTAACACCAACTTTAGCTACGATGGGATGACAGTACAAGACATGATCATGAACTACTTCACTAACGAAAACTATTTCAGGGCATCTGAGTTCATATCCAGAGTCTAATCATTAACATAAGCAGCCATGCTTCATTTTTGTAACAAGTTGGTAAAGATATTGTCAATAGCTTTTGATAGCTACGGGGTTTTGGGGTTTTGGGGTTTTGGGGTTTTGGGGTTTTGGGGTTTTGGGG